CTCCACCACCTCGCCTTCCTGGCCTGTCTTTCCTAAAAAGCACATAGCCATCCATGACCGCATCCCAGTCATGTGAACTATCCCACCATGTCTCTGCAACCGCAATGAGATCATGGCCCTGCGACCGCACACAGATCTCTAACTCTTCCTGCTTATTCCCCATGCTGTGCTCATTGGTATACAGGCATTTCAGAGAGCCAATCAAGCATGTAAGCTTCCCAGGAGAGGTGCAAGAGGATCCTCCACAGCCATGTCCCATGCCATCTCCTCTGGCTGCATGCACCCGCTGGAGGCCTCCTGACTCGAGTGGTGTTTTACTGAGAAGTGATTTGTGAAAAGGCAGATTATATTTTAAAGTCAGGTCTTCAGCTTTTATTGATGGTTCCTATATATTTGTACCTTGTTCTATTTAGTATCTATTAGAAAGCGTTTAATAAAAGGAGTCTTTTATTTTTCTGTTACAGATCAGAAGTTTGGTCCAAAACAGGCCAGCCCCTTTCAGGTGAACTACACCATTCTAGAAGACAGGTGTCTTTACCAAACCCATTACAAGAAGAACCAGTGACCAGGAGTGCAGTGACCGCAAATGAAGAAGCTCTGCAAAAGATCAGTGCTCTAGAAAATGAACTAGCCACTTTAAGAGCACAAATAGCCAAAATTGTAATCTTGCAAGAACAGCAGAATCTGACAGCAGGTAATAAATTTGCTATACACAAAATAGTTAATGAGTTTTCCCTGTTATAACTAATAATTTTTGTGAGATACTGCAAGACACTTTCTCCATGTTGTTGTGGTTAGTATAGTGGTCAGTCATAGCATACTAATGGAGGGATACAGAATATTTCTTGAAGACAAAAGACATGCCGTATTTTCTAGTATTCCAGAAGTCCTTGTGTGTGTTTGGAAGGTTGCCAGAATTCCAGAGCTGTGGATAAGTAAAGAAGGATGAAACAGAAGTAAAGAAGGATGAAACAGAGCTTTCTGCCCGGAGAAAGCTCATGAGTGTGTATCTCAAGCTTATGAATAAATAGCAGAAAAGGAGATTCATTGCTTACTGGAATCATCCCTGGGATGAGAGGCATTGTTCAGATGGAACCAAAAGGGGCGCAGTACTCTCAGTAGTAATTTTCTTTACCAAGATTCTTTCTCCTCTTCCCCTCACCTGCGGTCTCCGTCCACTTCTAAGCCTACCATCTCTAAAGCATTGCAGATAGCCTGTCTGTTTTCACTCATTCCTAAGTTCATTTAGAAAATACACTGTTTTGCCTATCTTAATGCATTAGATCATAATCTGATTCCTCAGAAGATGTTCTAGTTTAGTATTTATGTGAACTGATAGCAGTTACTTTATTTTTCCACAACTGTTCAAATTAAAAACCCTGCAATAGTTTAGAGGGTCACTTGCTTTCACTCTTAAATTGTAATTATTGTGGGGGTTTTTGCCAAATAACTAATTTCATATAACTTTTAATCATCTTCTCTTATCCTCTGTTTGTTAGGAAACTTGAATTTGCCTTTGATTTGATTTTATCATCTTTACCTCCCTCTTGTGGTAAAATATGGTAATGACTGTGTATGTATACATATTCACATAGTAGACACCTCTATACTGTATCAGTTTGGTTTGGATTGGTTTTGCTCATTTCTTCAGAGAAGCATTTGAAAAGAGGTTTCTTGATTTATTTGTCAAATTATTACTGCTATTATATTTATAACTTCCAGTTTTCTCCCAAAGAGTGCAGGAAACTTAGAATTAAGAGTATCCTGAGAATTTATCTGTTCAGACAGATGATTGGCTGACCTGAAAACCTCACAGCCTTAGAGAGCTGAAATAAACTTGAATTTAAGCACTAGTTGAGCTCTGTAGTTTACTTTTAAGAATCTTGTATGATAAGGTCTTCATTTCTCAAGATTACTAGGGAGAATCACTGCTCACTTAGCACACTTGACTTCCAGATCAGTACCTGCTTCAAAAGAGAATGAAATACTGAGCGCGTGAAAAAGAGAACATAATTAAAAGACAGTGTCACGTCCATCCTGTTTCATAGACTTGCCGTAAAGATACAGCTGCACCTACAACTTGAACTGGAAACTCAGCAGTTTTCACAGTGTGAGGAAAACTTGTGTCTGGCTTTTCAGTCAGATCTATTTAGGTGTCTCAGGAATGAACAAGTTATGTGATAACCTGAAAGGGAAGGGTATGTGGGGGAAGAGAATTGAAGCTACAACAGTCAAATTTTTACCTGAGTGTTTGTTGAGGTATAAAGGGGATTTACATGTAAACTTATATGAAATGCATGTTTTATTTGTAGTTGGGTTAAGTCCAGTTGCTTCAGCTGCTGTCCCTGTTGTGCCGTCACTGCCACCACCGCCGCCACCTCCTCCACCTCCCCCGCTCCCTCCCCCTGGTCTACAACGGAGTATGTCTGCAATTGAGCTCATTAAAGAACGAAAAAACAAAAAAACAAACTGTGGGCAGCCTCTCATAGAAAATGGGCCAAAGAAGCCTGAAATACCAAACATGTTAGAAATCCTCAAAGATATGAACAGTGTGAAACTACGCTCAGTGAAAAGGTAAGACATTAACATCAATATACTTAAAGATTTATCTTGGATTTATGGAAAACTTATTTCAAGCTGAGACTGCTGCTTATGCAACATTTGACAAACAAACGGGAATGAAAAAGTGTTCACAACTTACAAAGCTTTGTTTTGTACTATGTTAAAGCTTTTCATTTTCTTTTCCAGATCATTGGAAGGTACAAAATCTAAAGTAGCTGACCCTGCAGATCCTGCAGCTTTAATAGCAGAAGCTCTCAAAAAGAAATTTGCTTATCGATACCGAAGTGACAGCCAAAGCGAAACTGAAAAAGTGATTCCAAAGTCTGAAACAAAGACAGAAGTAGCACTGGTAAGTATTGTGGTTCTGAACACATGCTCGGACTAAATGATGCTTGTTGCGAGAGCCAACAAAAATCTTTCTGCCAATATAAACAAATACCTAAAAACATTTGTGCTCAAAAACCCATTAAGTATTGCCAGTATATCAGGAATTGTAGCAGTCATCCTTTTTTTTTTTTTTTTAGACTCGCATCTTGGGATTTTATGCTGCTTTGGACTGAGGTGTAAAAAACACTATTAGACTTTTACAGTAAAAAAAGTAATAAAATTATTTCTTGTATTGGCGATGTGGAATGCTGAAAACTTGATTCCTAAGGGCTCATACCAGAGATGAATCAGAACTGAGAAATTCCTGGAGCTTGCCTGTTATTACTAACCTTAAACATTCAGCTATTCTATGTGCAACTAAAGGCAGAATTTGAAGCAAGATCTTAAAACGTATCAGCCATTCCTGGGAATACTAAAAGCGTATTGTTTAAAATGCCTGCTGGCTCTTGTTATATGGAGGTTTTTTTCTAATAATTGGAAATGCTGAATATATTAAAAGTTTCTTTGTAGTGTGAGAATGTTAACATGAAGTTATTTAAAATATTTATCACAGACAGTATAAGTTAAGGGCTTTAGTTTATTTCAGGTTGATTCGAAACCAAAGTAAGGCTTTTGAAGCACTTTATATTCAAGGTGCAAGTTCTAGCAGTATACGCCTATTTACAAAACAGGCGAAAAATCTTTTCTCATGAAGTACAGGTCAGAATTGCTTACTAACAAAACTCGAAGCCTTCTGCTGCAGGAACAAAAAGGAAAAATGAAGAATTATTTTCCCTTTGCTCATTTGGAAAAATGCAGGTAAAGCTCCAGAATTTAAAGTGACTTAACCAAAAGAACTGGCTGTACTCTGAATTGAGTTCTGAGGAAAATAAGATTGCCAAGCCACAAATCTCAGGACTTCTGAAAACTTGAGCTTATTAATGTTGGCTTAGTTGCCTTCTGTTTTAGGCCTTTAAGGTGTATTCCTGTAACTGTCAGGCTTTTCTTTATAACTAAAGGGCTAGAAATTCGCAAAGAATCAATCACTTGTTTCCAGCAGCTGAGACTTTAAAAAAAAAAAAAAAAAAAAAAAAGAGCAATGCTTTACTCACATGTGGGTTTTTCATGACTTTCCATTTTGAAATTTAAAGTCCAGCTCTTGTGAGAACAAGGAACATCAAGGTCCAGCAGCTAAGAAAAGTGAAGGTTTTCATTTGTCGAGTGACGGAATGTTTATCTGCAATGAGCTGTCTAATAAACTTCTATCATCAGTTATATATCAATATGTAACCTCTTTGCTAGAGCAGTTCTCATGAGATATTCTCATATGATATCCTGAGTAGTTTTATAAGGACTTGCACAGAAAAGAATAGAAATATTGTCAAGAAACGCCTACTGGAGCAATTGGTTGTCAATTTCTAAAGATACTGCACCTATCTTTACTTATTTTGCTGTGGTAGAGTGAAACGTCTCTAGTCAGAGCTGCTCCAGGAGATGCCTAATCTGAGTAACTTCACTTGATCACTGACAAAAGTTTCCCCTTACCTTGAGGCTACAAAGTGAGTGAAGTCCACATGCAAAGAAGCAGGATGATAAAGGAAACTTTTCTGCCTGAGTTCTAGTTTCACTTGCAACATGGACGGGTAATAATAGTTCAACTAGGTCTCCCTGTTGAAAGCAATCTTAACATGGTTCTGGTTTTCTTCTCAGTTTGGACCGCACATGCTGAAGTCGACAGGAAAAATGAAGACTTTAATTGAAAAGTCTTAATGCATCAAGATCACTACATGAAAGACTGTAAACTGTTTTGACTAAGTGTTGCAAATAGCACTAGTACTGAGTGGTCTCCTACAATGCAGGAAAAAAAAGTAATGTGAAATGTAGAATTGAGGCACTAAAGATGTCAAGGTTGAGGTGCATGTTTGTATGCGGTTTAAAAGGGATAGATTTGACTGTTAACTCAGGTATTAATTTTGTATTCAAACCTGGCTTTCTACCCAGACTTGTTGTGGTTTTATTCATTAACACTAAGTAAGTTACCTATATGATATTTTTGTGCATAACTGACCACCTTAACATAATTTGTAATAATGATACTGATACACCTTTAGTTAAAGCTCAAATGACTGATGTTAACTTAAAACTTGCACTATGATATTTAGTTTGATACTACATTTTTCATGTCAAAGTTGTTCTTTTAAACAGAGCTTTAGCAATTTTTTTTATCCCAAAGAAAAATTGAATATATTCTGCTTCATACGGAAAGCAAGCAAAAACTTGAATCTGCCTCAAAGGTCACCTGGTAC